TGTGGATAAGGGAGAGAATGACTTATGTGATATAAATTCATTATTTATTTATTTATTTTCTTAGAAATGTTAAGTCCACCATAGAAATGATTCACAGACAGAAGGAAACAAAACACTGAAGTGGTTGGTGGATATTTTTAGCAGAAGGAAAGTGTTCTTTTCCCAAGGTTGAGGGAGAAAAAAACTTCTTTCTTTGCAGCCCATGGACTTAGGACCCTACAAAGCTGGGCATATATATTCCTTCTGCATAGGAGTTGGTAAAAGAGTGGAAAAGAGGTGTAAAGTGCATGTAATAGGAAATCACCTTCACTGGTGGTATGTAGGATATTTCAAGGTGCTCCCTGGTCCCTTGTTGAAGCTGCTCTGCTGTGCACAATAGATTTCAACATTGTTATGCCTACAGGGGAACGCAGCACTGCAGGCTGCTGACTTATGTGTTTATCTGAGAGAAAGAAGCAAGAGGTTCCCTTACCCTTCCCCCCAGTAGCTACTATAATTAAGTAATAGAAAATTATTGTGATTAGTTTATTCAACCAAAATACTAGATTCTGTTCTATATTGTAATTTCATTTCATTTGACTGAAACTGGTAATTTTGTTAATGGAATACAAATCATACTTCCATGAGGAGATAGAGTGCTCTTATGCTAAAAACAGGTATCAATGACATAGAAAGCTCAATTTGGTCACCACCAATGATCTGCAGTACTGCAGAAGCCAGCTGGCCAAACTGCAGTCCTATTTTCTTTTCTGTCTTCTGGAAGTTAAAAAGTCCTAGGCTGCTCAGTCCTTGAATGAGATACTGAGGAAATCACAGAAAGCAGAGGAACAAACTAAAGAATATTGCTTTGTTGCTTAGATCAAAGACTCTGAACAAGGAGATGGACTTAATTTTGACACCCTACTATGGCTTGTGGAAAGCTGGTGGGGAGAGAGGTGTTGCTTAAGTACTGACTCTAATTCTAAGCATGTCTTCCAAATCGGTTTTTTGGGAAGAATTTATCACTAATTTTATCCTCCTCTACAGCTACCCTGCCCCCTCCACGATGGTGTTTATCTTCAGGAAAACATGGGGGTTTAGAAGTCTGAAGGGCTTCTGATTGTGTCTGAACACCGATGGTTTCTTTGAGATCACAGTTGTCAAAGCTAGTAGGCAAACAAATGTTAGAAAATGTATTTGAGGAACTTACTCTCTGGAAATATCTGACTTAAAAAAATGTGTTAAAGGAATGCCTTTTTCTTAAAATAAGAAACAACAGTGGTTTCGATTTATTTCTTTCTTGATCTCAGAGATTGTTAGCATGATGAGTCTTATTGGCATTTACTGTCAGCAGAGAAATTATATTAATGAAAAATTGCAATAGGCGAAATAGAACAAGGACAATGAAAGAAAATACTCCTGATGAGCAAACCCTTTGTTTGTTCTGTGCTGTTTTAATAATGCTTGAAGTAATAATCTCCTATTGTTTAAAAAAATCTATAGATTTGTAAATAGTGGTAAAAGCAGCAGAAACCTGACTTTACCAGTTTTTACTTAAAAAAAATTTCTTTGTGTCCTGGTGTGTTCCTGACATTTGCTCATTTTAGTTTTGTGCAAATGAAGATAGAGATCTTTTTATGTTACACAAAATTATTCTAGTGTCATATTAATCTTGTGAGTTGAGTTGTTCATGTGAAGTCACTCCTAAGAACTCTCGAACATTCATTACCAGTATTACAGACTTTATTTAAAATACTATTTTTACATGCACAAGCAAGAATACCAATTTTTTACCTAAGTGATAGTAAATGATTAATTAATATTACTGCTACATTTCAATCAGTGTGTTAATCATGTCCTCATAATCAGATGAAGGAATGTGCCCTTAAGAAATAAAATATTTCTTATGTTTTACTAGACTGTAGAAAAAGAACCCCCACATTCTAAAAAATACATAGATAGATCCAGAGCAGTATTTTCTCATTCAGCAACCAGGAAGTTTTGCCAGTCTGACAGATGACATCTTCAGTCTTTTCTTCCCCCAGAGTAATTAAAGCAAAGCCTAAAACACATGCATGGGGTAGATCAGAGGACTGATGATTGTGTCACTGTCATTATTACAAGACAAGGTAGTGCCCAATGCCCAACCAGTTCATGAATCCCTTATCTGATTCCTTTCTTGTCCTAGTTAGGATGCTTTTCCTGTCCATTAGCAAAGTCATTACCAGGCAGATGTGGAGTTAGCAAGTGGGACAGCAGTGATTCTTGAACTACCACTCTGTCCTTCCCAAATATTATATCTGGTTTTTTTAGTTATGAAGCATAGTAAGTGATAACAAAAATATTCGATCTCATCACTAAAAGAAGGCCATAAGGATGATCAAAGGGCTGTAAAACACCAGAGAAGAAAACACCTGGAGAAGAAAAGGCTCACAGGGAACTTCATCATCATCTTCCAGTACTTAAAGGGTGGCTTTGGAGGATGGAGGCTTTCTCTTCACGAGGAGCCACATGGAGATAACAAGGGACAACAGGTACAAATTGTACCATGATGGGTTTCATCTTGATATGAGAAAGAAAATTTTCAAAGTGAGATCAATCACTGAAACAGCTTCCCTAAGAATGGGATAAGAGTCCCCATCACTGAAGGTTTTCAAGACACAATTAGACAGGGTACTAGCAAATCTCATCTTTTCCACAAAAGGTTGAACCAGGTGATCTTTCAAAGACCTGAGCTGTGATATGGTTTTATTTCACACAGTAACAGTTTTTTGCTGTGTCTGCTTTTATAGAGTTGTTGAGAGACAATCTGGTACTCTACACGCCTTTGCAGTTTGATATCTTCCTAAACCCATTCAATAAACATGCCTTTTCAGTAAGTTTCCTTAGAGCTGTTAACAGACATCCTGGTTTGGTGGTGTCTTTGGCCCAGCTCATGCTATTCTATGTTCTGTTTTAAAGAACCCTTCAACCCACATTTACTAGAAAGAAAACTGATTTTTAATTCAGCTTTTCTTCAAAATTTATTTCTAATGAGATAAGAGAGAATGTGTGTATGGTAGTAGCAGTTTTGTGGTCAGTTTTTGGATCTGATCTTTAATCACAGGTTACCATGGCTACATTGTTTGATTCCTTCTTTTCCTGGCAAATGTCTTTTCTGAGTTGTGGACATATTCAGTTTGTGAAATGCTTCATATCTTAGTGCATGTAGATTAGATTGAGTATGAATTTGTAAAAGAGTAAAACGGTTCTTTCAAAAATATCTCGGCGCATATGCTATTCTCATGAAAGTTAGTGGAAATGCTGGCACTTGTATTGAAATAACACCAACCAGCCAACTGGCACTGAACATCTATTTGTTCCATTTGTACAGTCGAGTCATAGTGAATATTTATAAATTAAAAAAACCCTAAATTACTCAATAAGACTTGACTGAACAGACTTTATAATGAGATAATGTAGACCTTCAGGTAAACTACTAGAGGTGCAGTGTTATCTCATTACAACACACATAGCATGCTCCAAGGCATGTATTTTTACTGCAATACATTCCTGCCTCAGGCCACTTTTGAGGTATAAGGTGGAAGGACAAGTAGCTTAAAAACTTGAAAAGTAGATGCCTTTTACTCTAGCTGCATATATAACAGACAGCTGTATTCAGTGGTTTATTGAGTGTGTTAATTGTGAGCAATAAGGCCGAAAAATGTGTGTTCTAATGAATAGCTTCCCCTGCAGTTCAAAATATTTTCAGAAAGCAGGCAAAAACTCCAAAGAAAGAAATTCAAGTTGCATTCAAGGACTCAAAAGTATGTTGTTCTAAAGTTGCTGCTGTAGTAGTAATAGTATTACGGGATACTCAGTTGGTCAGAGCAGCAGCTTAAATGTTGCTACCTTTCTGCTAGTGACACGAGAGCTTAGAAAATAAAAGTTCCCAATCTATTTCATCTCCACTAAGGAGATGTGGCAAAGGAAGAGTTTCTTCTACAAATAACCATTTTATTGATAGTTCTTTGCTTCTAGTGTAGTGTAAATCTAGAGAGTCCCAGTGAAATTATTGGAGTGACATCAGTAAAATCAAGTGCTGTGACAGAGCATCAGATCTGCATCATGGAACTCTCTCGCCATTGAAATCAAGGAGAATTAGAGAATGATTTTGGTGCTGGAGTGATTTCATCCCCGGATATGTTGCTAGAAATTATAATGGACTGCAATGATATGATATGTAGAAGTAACTTTCAAAGTCAGTGATCAGGGATTCGTGGTGCTCCATCGATCAGAAAAAATAACAGAATAATTTCCAGACTTTAAATGGTGTAAAGAAGGAAAATAATAATAATATAAAAAAGAGTGACTAATAGTGGTTCAGAGAAATGAAATCTGATAGAAAGGGGATGGAAAACTAAAGATAATTTGTTATTATTTTTATGCTTGTATTACACTGACATGGAGTGTCCCAAAAAATGTTGGAAGAAAAAGTTTCATGTCCTAAGGAACTTCAGGCCAACACTAAAAAGGTCTGGTTGGAGGCCTGACAAACTAATTAATGAGGACAGATGCATGGGAGAAATCATAATACCAATTTTGCAATTGCTGTACTGGGCTTCCTATATGTCAGCTCTGTGTAGTTCATGGCTGGCCTAACCACAGAGCACTTACAGCAGTATGCTGGAAAAAGGATGGTCTGCAAGAATATATATTTATTGAATAAGTAATAATTTGCTAGGGGAATTTCTGCTTTGAATTCCAGTAGCTGTCTTGCCCTTACCTCTAAGGATAGTATTTTATCTCCATTTTCAGTAAGGATGGTAATAATTTAATTTTGGAGCCAGATCCAGATTGCTCTTAATTGTTGTGTCAATATCATTGTTATCAGACTTTACTTTTCATTTATGTGGCTGAAAAGTCTTTTGCTATTTGTTCTCATTATTGTTGCAGGATCTTGCTAATTTTGGAAGTTCTAGGAAAACTCCTTTTGATCTGTGAGACACATTGACCAATTATCTTTTTCTCTTTCCTTACAGACTTTCCATAGTGGACAAATAATGAATGCCGAAAACCAGTGAAATCATCAAGGCTGAGGCTCATCCCTCAGAAGGATACTGGGAGGAACGTGAATGTCAGAGAACAGCATGACAAGCCATAACAATCACAGTTAAGTTTCTGTTGGCATTCTTCCGCTATTAAAAATAAACTGTCATGAAGAAAAGAGAAAACCAACAGAGGGTGGCTGGAAAAATTATTTATTTGAATTGGGAAAAAGGGGATGTGTCACACTTCCCTTTTAGTCTTTTTCAAAGCAAAATTCCAATCAAGGTATATTCAGTTCAAATTTTGAAATTTAAGGTTATTATCACAGAAGCGAAGAATCACAGAATGGGTCAGGTTGGAAGGGACCACAGGAGGTCATCTGGTCCAACCTCCCTGCTCAAGCAGGGTCATCCTAGAGCACATGGCACAGCATTGTGTCCAGATGGTTCTTGAATGCCTCCAGTGAGGGAGACTCCAAAACATCTCTAGACAACCTGTTCCAGGGTGCAGTCACCCACACAGTAAAGAAGTTCCTGCTTATATTCAGGTGGAACTTCCTGTGCATCAGTTTCTGCCTATTACCTCTTGTCCTCTTGTTTGGCACCACTGAGAAGAGCCTGGGTCCATCCTCTTGGCACGGTCCTTTCAGGTACTTGTAGACATTGGTGAGGTCCCCTCTCAGTCATCTCTTCTTGAGGCTGAACAGCACCAGCTCCCTCAGCCTTTCATCGTAAGAGAGCTGCTCCAGTCCCTCAATCTTCTCTTTCACCCACCAGAACTGGACACAGCACTCCAGATGCAGCCTCACCAGGCCTGAATAGAGGGGCAGGATCATCTCCCTCAACCCACTGGCAATGCTCTTCCTAATGCCTTCCAAGGTACTGTTGACCTTCTTTGCCCCAAGGTCAAACTGCTGGCTCATGGACAGCTTGACCTCCAGGTCCTTCTGTGCAGATCTGTGTTCCAGCAAGTCAGCCCCCAGCTTGTACTGGTGCCTGGGGTTTCCATTTTAAGAAAAGATATTAGTTGTCGAATTCAAAACTTTCTAATTTACACAGCATTTTTTCCTTAAAATTTTTAGCTTCCTACATTGCCTGTATTTTGACCTTTTCCCTCATTTTCAATGCATTCTGTCACTGGTTCCAGATATTAAGCCTCTACTTTCTTCCAGCTGGAAGGAGTGAGTGGAAGAAAAAGTGGATGGAAAATATGATGTCAAGGTTTCTTTAATTCACAGGTTTTCTCTCACAGAATATTTTCTGTTACTGCACCAAATAGCAGGAATCTAAGTTTTAAGATAGATGCCTGGAGAAAAAAAAAGAAAAAAAGAAATGAGAAAATTGAAATTATTGTTTTTTGTCAATCTGGGTGAAAAATGGGGTAATTGAGAAAAAATCTAACAGACTGAACAGTCTTGATGGTCTTATTTTTGTGGAAGAGTCTCTTATATTGACTTAATGATATCTGCTGGAATTGAAACAACAGTGTCTACACAAGGGACTTATCCTGTTTAATTGCATCAGTTGAAAGTGATTCAATTTTTTTGGCAGAAACAAGCATAGGGAGATGGAAAAAATAAATGGCTATTTTTTTATAGTGAAATAAAGGGGAGGAAGCAAAGCAAACAACTTATGGCCCTGAAATACCATTATTATATCTAGGAAACCATGACCAAAAGATGCTAATTTGTTTCAACTCACTCACCGTGAGGGCTCCCTTTGATCCTCCTGCATTTCTTAGAGTGTGATATTCTCACATTTTAATGCAGTATCATTTGACATTGAGATGCAGGGAAAATTGTCCAGTAAACAGCTTTCTTGTACTGATTTGGAGCTTGTGGGAAAGATTATAGTATGAGTTGGAGCCTGCCACAAGAGAAATGGATTATTACTCTGGGAACACTTACATCAAGGAGGACCCTTTTACAGCTGAAAGAGGCAACCTTTTACAAAGAGCTGTGTTCAGTGAACTCCTTGTCAGCTTGCTGAAAGTGCTAACTCACAGCATACAGGTCATTCCTTCCCAGAAACACGAGAGAAAAGCTTTAGCATGCTATTTGTGACTTTTTCTCCTTGAATGTAATGGTGTTTTTTACAAAATGACACCACATAAAAGAAAAAAACTAAAAATCAGATTTAATGAGACAGATGGTTTAGAGAGGAAGGAGAAAAGGAGTGCCTTAAAAGACGTCAACGCTCTGTTCACAGCGGCGTAAGCTTTCGACAAACCAGCCTGTGTGCTTCGGATAAATATAGGGGTGGAGGTATTTTCTAAACAAAATCTACTTGTAATAAAACTCAGAACTGGGTAACAAAGTCTCCCTGAATTTCCCTACCCCTGAAATGCTGCTTTTCTTCCTATCAGTTTCAGTGTTACAATAAAATTAGAAGCCTCACAAGGGAAGATTTTTAATTTTGTTTTTGAAAGACTTTTTTTTTTTTAGTCAAAGAGAACTATAGAATAAATTATTACAAGGACATTAAAAGGATTTCATTTCCTTGAGCATACATATGCATTCTGCTGCACCATGTCCTCTCCCTCCCAGTGTAGCCATTGATCCACAGCTTTTATAATGAACTCTAATAACAACTCTATTACTGTGAGGCTTCCGATTGGCTCAGGCACCCACAAAATTAGCTACAAAGAAGCCAGCTTGTCAATATTAATTCCGCCACAGAGATTACTTGTTATGGTAGAACAAAGGTGTTTTGGCTTGAGCTGAACGACTTAACTCCTTGTCTCATAAAATTTAAGCTGCTATTGATCTCCTTCTTCTATTGTGCTGAAAGAATAAAAAAAAAAGGGCTGTGCGCGCGCAGACACACAGCCAGACTGGTGTGCTGAATCACTCCGATGCATTCTCCAAAACCACAGCCGCCCCCTTCCTTCCTTCCCTTCTTCCCTTCCCTTTCCATCCCCTCCCTGTCTGCTAAGAATCATTCAGTAACATGAAGCAAATTAAATCAATGAATTCATCCTAGCAGATGGGTGCTTTAACAGTCAGTTAGCCTTTAGATAATTGAGGCGTTGACTCCGGAATCATAAAATGGATGGCTCGTTTGTACATTTTACTGAAATAGATCACCGAGGTTAAATAAATGAAATCCCATTTGTCAGGCGGTAATAAATGGCCTCCCCTTCTGCAAACAGCTCTGTTTGGCCTAATAAATACAGGGATGTTACAGTGCTCCTCCCTTGATAGGGTTATGGCTTAATGAAATGGTCTTTCCTCTGCTTGTTTTTGCCTCCTCCTGCACCGTGTGATAAGTAGCGAACCAACGAAGCTTGTAATTACAATCTTACAGAGAACCCAGCCAATCTGTATATAAATCTCACCATCCAATTACAAGATGTAATAATTTTGCAGTCAAGCTGGTAATGAGGTCTAATACTCATGCATGTGATAATCCCCCCTGGATGCTGACTCTATCAGATGTTAGCTTTGTAATTATACTGGCAGAAAATCATTATTTCATGTTCAGCAGAAAAATGAGGTTGGTGGGAAGTTAATTTTCTCTATGCTCTGTGAAGCATAGACAAAATTTTAATGATTTAATCATTATGGTTATCCCTTTTGCAATTGACCCGCGTTACTTCTGTAGAAACATTGGCACATTTAAAAGTCCCTGTTACCCGATAAAGCTTGCCAGGTATGCAGCTTTTAATGTAAGAATAACCGTATACAATTAAACTATTAACCTCCTTGATAGGGGAAAAATCCATAGTTTTTATGTTTTCATTATTTACACACAGGATCCAAAGGAATGTTTATGTCCAGTCTGCACTGCGATAAAAAAAGACTCTTAAATAAAGAAAAAAGAAAAATGCTATAATTAGGGTGTAAGCTCTCAGAACAAAACAGCAGGTTCACAATGGTATTTTAGCAGCTCAGTAATCTTTTGTTCCTTTCCAGTGTAGGAGACATTCATGAGATATTATACCTCTACACAAAGATCTTATTATGCATAATCAGCATTTTCACAAGAACTAGTTTAAAGGAATCACTTGTGATACATATTTTTAATTATTCTTTTCTGCTCTCAGAATTTGCTTGTTATTTCTGTTTGTCTGGCCTGCCAGAAGAAGGACACAGAATAAGAGAGAAGTCACAACATTGAGATGGGAGAGTGAGAAAAAAACAGTAGTGCAAAATCAAAACTGTAGGGAAGTAGGTAGGCAGGACAAAATAACAAAGTGTATTGCAAATTGCAACTAAGATATTTAAGGATAAATTACTTCAAAAAATTCAGGTTAATGAAAATGTCATCAAATTCTTTTGTGCTAGGATTTCATTGGAAGACATGTATCCAAATAGTACTTAAGCATCCCAACGTCACTTAAATTTGCAAGCTTAATTCTACTATTTCTAACCTTTAATCCTGTGCCGATAATGTTCCTTTATTGGCTTATTTCAAATATATATGGGCATATATATGTAGGTGTGTGTGTGTGTATGTATGTGTATATAAATATTTTTGTGTATACATGCTGGGTTTCTGTAAGACAGACATTATAGAAAACCTAACTGAATCTTATCTTTTGGAAATATTTTTATATTTTCTTTAGAATGAGTAGCAGGATTAGGGCCTGTGCGGTACTTCAGTTGATGACTTTCAAGAAGGCTTGATCTGGTATGTCCAAAGGCTTACCAAAGCAGAACTCAATTAGTAAATGAAATCTGTAAAAGATAACCTCATATTTGATTCCTGTTAGGCTTAGACGGTAGACATTGCTGTTGTCTCAAGACAAAAGCAGTTATGGATAATGTCCAGAGAATGACCTGCAGGTAGGCACTTCTTCTGAGCCCTTGGAAGGGGGCTTATTCCACCTCACTTCAGATTTGTCCTTCCAGACCTGGTGGAGTAATCTAGAGCCCCTTTACAGCCTATGAGCACATCAGGGCTGCCCTTCTCTTACCCAGCTGATGCATCTACCTTTTGAAAGGTGATCTGTATCCCAGAAGTGCCTTTTCATCCATTGGCCATAAAAAAATAACAAATGTATAGTTCAGATGTTGGTAACTACTCTATAGGCCTCAAAGATTAGTTGAAATAAATTCTACCCTTACCTCCTTTGTGGATCCAACCCAAAGTGGCTCTGGAGAAGGCCTGAGGTCTATTATGTATTAAATTCCTAATCTAGTGATATAAAAAAGACAACTTGACAGACACGAATCCTGATCTAATTACAGTTCTCAGCCTTAAAAAAGGATTATTTTTTAATGAGTCCTGTAACTCAAAGCACATATTTAGACAATTTATCAAACCTCTTAAGAAGAAAATCCTGACATTAGTTATGGTGGTTCTACTGGTAGTCCATACATCTTATTCCTGTAGAAGAAGCAGGATTGAGATGAGGAATGCAGATGACCTAAAATTAATTAGGATATTAAGAAACAGTGAAAGCTAAGGGACTTGAAGAAGGACATCATGCACAAGCCAAACGGACGGTCCTTTGCTGACAAACTTATTGTGTCTAACATGCATTGAATGGAGTAATTGGAAATACCTAATGCATTACTAGATACAAAATAAATTTTTCTGAGCTGATAGAAAGATGAGGGTGTTACTATAGACAGTTGAGTCCAAAGTAATAAAAAAATGCAAAGAAATTCAGAGTAATATGGAAAATAAAATAAGAAATGCTATTTAAGTGAAAGATGTGGGAAAATAATCAGGTAGAGAGGTTGTCCACTTCTTAGTTACTCTTAGCACAGTCTCTGCCTGCATTCCCTAACACTGACTCATGTTTCCCCTACTTGACAGCTCTGGCATTTGCCTTGAGCGCCATAATCCGCACAATGTCAGCTATTTGGGATACTTGAGCCAAAGAGCTTCTCTTGTTTAAATCCACTCATGTTCATCTCCTATTTCCATATGGAATTTACATTCAAAGCAGAGAGCAAATCAGTAAGACTTCATACTCGCCTTGCAGTGGGAGCAGTGTCTGTGGCTGCTCTGTGGACTTTGCCTTGCACATCCACTGTGGCTGTGTTTTATGATTCTCCCATTCTGGGACCTAGCTGCAGCCAAACCACAGAGGTGGCAACTTGGCATAAAAAATTCTGGAAACTCTCTGTGAAGCAACCTTTGATTTTTGTATGGGTTTACAAGAGATCAGCATAATTCTATTTGAGCATTGTTAGGATTATATATTCCAGTGAACAAATCCAATCCTTAAAAGAATTTCTGGTCCAGCAATGATTTCATCAGGCAGCTTTTGCCAGCTGAACCCATTGAAAATGAAAATATAATGTCCAGTGTGTTCTGTGGAGAAAATAGGAAGTCCTTTTGTGATGTGAGATCTTACCGAAGCTCATGTGAAGGGGTTAATTTATTAAAAGGCACTGGCTTTTAGTAGTTGCTAGGTAACATTGACCTTTTTCCAAAGGCTGTACTCCTCCAAGGAGGGTGTTTCAGCAGAGGTAATAATTCTGTGTGGGGTTCCTCAAGGAATTGGTGGTAACCTATCCTTCAGGAAAGTTGGGAGGATATGGTTTTGGAACAAACTGTCATCTTCCCCCTCTCCTCTTCCGTTCATGTTTCTCTCTCTGTTTAAAAAACAAAATGAATCAAACAAATAAACAAAAACACCCCGCCCAAACCAAACAAACAAATGACCACAAAACAGAGGAAAAACACACTTTCTCTAATTTGCTGGTGGAACTACATCACTACAGTTGCAAGAACTCCCTGTCCTCCCCTACAAACTGGGTACTAGAAATGTGAATGACTATTTTGTGTCTGCAACTATAAGAAGTTCCACATTAAGAGTTGTGAAGCCTTCTCTTCAGAGTAGTTAAAAAAGAAAAAGAAATATGTCCTTTTTCAAGGTGTTTATTGTAATATCTTTTCTCTAGAATGGGAAAGGAGATAATAAATTCATTTTTAAGTAAGATTTATTTTTGTCTCAGATTATACAATAGCATTTTATCTTCTGCATTAGGATCACTGCTTAGACTTATTTCTTTACTGGTTCTGTATTTTGTTGTATTTTTAAGAGAAAAGGGAAAAAAAATTCTTGAAAATCCACATGCACACCCAAATGATTCGTAAGTTGATGAGACTAACCTAATGACAAGCAGTGTATTTAGCTCAGTGACTAAAAAAATTACAATTAGTGTTCTTTCAAAAAGAAACATTTTTATATAGAAAAAGGTGCATAGACTTCATCCTTATGGGCCAGGGTAACTTACATGACAACTTGTTAAATCGATTTTATGCTTCTTTTAGATCTGCTATTCAATTTTTTAAAGTGCAGATACCATGGCAACCCCCTCTCTCATATGGAACGTATGCTGCTTTAGAGATAAAGAGCAAGTACATGCAAAGATGGAACAGGATGACATGTAAACTTTTTTTTTTAATATTCACACTTTGGAAGAAAAAATATGCTACAGAGACACATTTTCTCTTAGCTGCAATATATTTTCTGAAAGAATCACATTTTGTACAATGCAATTAATCAGTCTTTAGATATTTTCATAAATATTATAGAAGGAAATTGCACCTTGTGCTTTTATAATGTATATGTGCATTTATTTGTATATATGCATATATATAGCCAAAGAATTATTCATATCTGCATTTGTTTTAGTGTAAAATGACTCCTTAAAGTCTGACACTAACAACTATATTTTTACTGATTTTCTTACTGTTCCTTAATGGCAAGAATGTAGCACATTTTTCTGGTTTTGTTTTAATGTTATGAAGGAGCTGCATAGCTGCTATGACTAATTATTTTTTAAAAGACAAAACACAGCTGAAGTATCAGTTCTGAGAAAAAGCAGGAGGAACTATATGTACTTGACTATCTTGGCAGTTATTTACATTGTCTGGATCAAAATTTTCAAAAGCATAATAGTCTACTGGATTCCTCAATTAGCTTTCTAAATACTTGACTTCAGAGAAGTCTGCTGGGGCACAGCATTTTTGAAAATCTGGTCTCTTGCTTGAGTTGTAGAAGAAGTTGGATTTAGGTTATGAGATATTATTTATATCCAAAACAAGAAAATTGATCAAGGAAACTGCCATTTCTTATCATCAAAACCCTATTTCTTCCTGTATTCTATACCTTAGTTAGAGACAGGATATATGTGAAATTTCAGCATCTTGCTGCTCTTTTTGTTTTCATATTCAAGCCTGGTTCTGTGATTAAAGACAGACCTGAAATATTAGTATGTGGTAGTTTCTACCAATACAAGCTGAGCACTCATTTCAGGTTTCTGAATGAGTTAAAGAAGGAAAAAAAAAATATTTTTTTTTCAGGATTTAAAAGCACACTACTTAATGAGAAACCCTTGTTGGTCTGCACCTCAGTTTTGTCATTCCCACCCATAAACCCCAACAAATTACTCTCTTATGTGATCTTGGTTTTGATTATACTGATGACTTTCACGTGCTTGGAGCACTGGAGGAAGGCAGGATGTAGAGTCCATTGTTCCTTTTCTTCATCATTCTTCATCTCACATCATTAGTCCTGGGATCTGAGTGTTTTTTAATATGTCATTATTTAAATCAAGTAAACCGCCATGCATCATCTTTCTTATGTTTTTCTGCATTTTTGATACATGCACTAGTGTTTGGCTGTTTGTTTCCTGGTCACTCTTTTCACTTGTTGGTATTAAGTTTTGTCAACTTTCATTTCTTTTTGCAAACTTTAATAGGTTTGAAAGTTTAGTTTGATTTTGATAAGCTTGCACAAGTCCCAGGCTGGTATATCAAATATGCTTGTGGCTGCAAATCTCACAGGGAAAGACTCCCACAAGAGACTGACTACAAATAATAAAAGGAAATTACTGTAAACTATAAATGAAAATATAGGCTTTTCTTTTTTCTTTACACCTTTCTGCCAGCAGTGTCTGAACCAGCTTCCATTAAAATAGGAAATCCCATTGATGGTGTTAGGATGTTTGCCAGACATCCAAACATAAGAGGCATTCACAGTGGAAACTCCAATAATAAGAAAAAATTGCTATTAGAAAATTAATTCTGCATCTTTGAATTATAAATAAATCTCTGTTCCTGTTTAGGGGGATTGGATGCTGGAGTTCATGTTCACAATGGTTTTCCTTTGTTGAAATCAATTTGCCTGTACCAACCATTTATGCTTTAACAAGAAAGTAATGTGATGGTGAGAAAAAGCATGGCATATTGGGATGTTCCTCTGAGTGCTATTCCCTGAGGCAGCTGCTGGAGAGTATTGAAGGGCGGCTAAATCAACATTGCCTACTTTTTTTTTTTTTTTCCCCAGAGACCAAATGTGTAGCCTCTGTGATGCAAATTATATTTAACCAGTTCTGGGGACTGAATGTGGATTGGTGCTTTGGTGAGTCTGGGTCTTTCTATGTGGTCACAGAATAGTTTTTCTCTATGTTACAAGGCTGACTGTGGTACACATTTGTATATAAATAGAGCAATGAGTTTGTTTTATAATTATTAATCACAGATCTGAATTAATTTGTTCTTTATTTCAGTTTAGTTTTTATGAAATGAGTACTTTCAAAGTGAGTAGCAGTGTTGAAAACTAAGATAACTGTAAAGAGTATTGCCCAACTGGCTCTAATAAATGCAAATTGAAGGAGTAACTTCAGTCAAAATGTATTCTTAACGATACATTCCAAACAAGCACATTTATTAATGTAGATAGCGCATCTTGTACCTTCCCAGCTCTGAGTTCATTGCTGACTAGAAATCTTAATAAGTATGTTTTACAAATGCTTTTAAATAGTGATACCTTCAGGACAATAAATGACTTACAAAAAAAATTAAGGACTCTAAGGTCTGTTTTTTAGGTATCAGCAATCATTATGAAGTGAATTTTGTAATTCATGTATTAATGAGTGCTAAATAGACTGTAAATGGCATGGAAAATGTATTCTTTATTTATAGATTGTAGCAAATACTCAAGAAATAACAGTAAAATTAAGCTATATATAGAGATTGATAGATGCATTTTTATTATACTTTTTGCTGACTTAAGTTTTCACTTGTGGAAAATAATGTTGCCTATATTTAAAAAAAAAGGATTAAAAAAACTCCCCAAATTAAATTTTTTACTACTATCTTTAGTAGCCATTTCTGTGACAGTATTTTATTAATTGTAGTTGTTAGTAAATTATTTGTGTTCAAAAAATTAATTTATGCCTTAAATACTTTCTCAAATTATATCTTTTTTTTCTCCTCATACAGAAATCCCAGATAACACACTAAATAAGCTCCTAGATTCAGATTTGAGGTAAACAATTAAAAACATAAGTTTAAAGTGAAAAACAGTTCAGGAAATTGCCTGATGGGCTTGGCTTATTTTCAGCTTGGCACTACTACTAAACATCATATGATTATACTTTATTTTAAGGAAAGACCCAGAAGTAAAAAAATAAAACCAAACCACAAACAGAAAACCACCACCACCACAAAAAATGCCGTTGAAGAAGTTTTGTGTTAAGATGCACACATCACATACATAAAATAGTGCAATTTTTTCCCTCATTTGACTGAGGCTTTGAGACAGGGGCGCAGGAAGGTGTGGCGACTACAAAAAATAAAGAAACAGTACTTCCCATAAAAGATAGACTTTCTCTTAAAATAATTACCAAAGAAAGTAAATTTTGTCACAACTTGCCAAATGAAAGGTTGTTATAACTCTTTTTTAAATGTAAAATGTTTTAACTGAAAATAGAATATCTTAATAATTTAGTTACCCAATACAAAAAATATTTTTATAGCAGTAAAACCCCCAGCAATTCAGAGTATTTCTTCTTCCAAGATAAGCATTGTTTTTAAATAAAAACTTGAATTAGTGTCAGATTTAGGACCTAAGCATGAAAAACCATCCAAAAATTGTAGACGTTCCCATTAACTGTTATTTAAATGTTGTCAATCAAATCTGTTTGCATCTGGTACTGATGCCATGTGAAATTTATTTATTTAAACTTTCAGTCACACATGGAAAGTTTTGCAGATGGTGCCTCTTCTCATCTGTTTTTTTCCAATTTCCCCCCAAACTCCAGTTCCTACTCTCTCGACCCCCCAATTTGATTCCTCCTTCTTCTAAAAAAATAGATCTAATCAGTAGCATGTTAAACAAGGGGGGATCTTTTATGTATTCTGTGTTAGGACAAGGAAAGCATCGCTGTAGATCACTAGAATAAACAACTCAGGCTGATTCAATTACAATGCCTGGGCCAGGCTTTTATCTGCTGGTGACATCATTTCAATCAAAATGTAAAATAATACAATCCAATAGATGCAAGAGGGAGAGATAGGACACAGACTGCTGCACTTAGTCATTTAATAAAAAAAAGTGGAAGAAAGCTCTTTCTGACAGGCTGCTAGGACTTCCATTTCCAAAACTCTATTACCTTGTATAATAGTATTCAAAAGAATTGAATGCAGGAAATTGTCTATTACTTTTTATTAGTAGAAGCTGTTATGTAGGATACAGCCTACTGCACTGTTTTTTCTTTGTTCCTTTAATTAACAAGAGCATGAAATCCTTCTATTGGCAAGCACTTTTTCCAAAGCTTCTGTTGCCTTCTGTTTTTACTGAAAAGGTAGGTTTTTGTTCTTTTCTTTTCTCTGAATGTCTTCTTTTTTTTTTAATACTAAAAAAGTAATTTTTTTCAAGTCACTGTAATCTAAAGTCTATCAGTCACCTTAATGGGCTAGGAGAGGGCAGAATGAGGATACATTTCCATAGCCGTAGAACAATTTTATAAGAAAGTTTCACGTTTGAGGAGTGAGGGAGATTCAGATTGCAACCATGTATAGCCTGGTGCCAGTCTTTCGACCATTTCACTTGCCAGCTGAAACTTGGTTTCATTGCTTAATTTATTATTTTGCTCTATGAGCAAAAGATAAATTGATACATATTGATTTGATATATGCCCAATGCAGAGAAACATATTCTTTCATCAGACTATATCCTCGATCCCATAAGATTGTCTGTGACAGCATATGACAGGGTGTCATGAACCTGGCCATCCTACATAATTCTCTCAAATTTTACCTGGAGTAAAAGTAGTAGTCCTGATTCCAATGAGGTCTACTTCCACTGACTTCTACATTCATATGTAAAATATACCAGAAAGCAGATATGAGGGGTAGAACTCTTGGTCTTTGGAGAGAACATATTTAATTGATTTTAATGATTAATTACATATAAAATTCAACTTCACTGTTATTAGATTCATAAAGGTCTTAGTAACTTTATTTAATAGTAACTTCTCTAGCTAAATTGTAACATTGGCTAATGAACAGAATCTTGCCAAGAGCGAACAATGACTATTTCAGCTGTCACTGAAACACTCTTCTACCATGCTTACCATTTGAGGGTGCCTTATGAGGAAGTGGATTGAATCAAATGGCTAACTGCAGATGATGTCGAAGGAGATGTAACTCCTTAAAGGAATTTTATCAACATTTTCTTTACTAATGCAATGATTTGTTCTTCTTTTGCACTTACCATAGCAAAAAGACCTGAAGAGAGCTGAGGTCTGTGGTAGTCTTGAAAGACGTTGACTTATGTCTTCTCTTACTAAGAAAGAGATTGCTACCATTCTGGATAGCATTATTGTTCCAAGCGTGTGGTAAGGTTTTTTTGATTATGTATGAAAAGGATACATTGAGGATGACGTAATAACCTATGCTGGGAACGAACTAGCAACCACTGTAATCACTGAACAATTTTAATCCTCCCTTTCATCAGATGTGTTTTATAATTTTTCAAATTCATATTTGATATACTATCTTTTTTTTACAATGCCTGTGATGCTAACCAGTATTCTCCTGTTGCAGTGGGCTTGGACCCTAGCAGGCTGTAATCGTGGTCAAGATTAGACAACCCGTGTTAGACACACAGCACCTGAAGGAACACAGACCTAAGGTACTAACAAGAATAGTTTAAACATGTAAACTAGTTATCTAAACTCCCTATCTATCTAGGCAGTGAAGAGATAAGAGCTCAAAAGGTAAAGAATACTTAAAGCTGGATCTTGGTCTACATGGGACAAGGGCACATGGAGCATTACTGTTGCTGTAATTTGGGTGCCTGAGCTGAAGCTGCATAAGCTGAAGTTGCATATGAAATTATTCAGCTCATCTTTTATTTTCTGACAGTGCCCTCACATCCTCAGGTAAGATGAAAGGTGGACCAGTCCTAGGCAGTATCAATACTCCAGAGGTAAAGGGTCCTTTCTGGGAAAGTGAGAGCTATGGATTTCGACTCCTGCAGGCTGCAGGAGTGTCTAGCACTTTGGTCCCTTAGCTTTTGGCTGAGTTGTCTGGTAGGCTGTTTCTGGAAAAGAAAGGTATTTTACCATGTCTATGACTGAGCACTGGAATAGGCTGAATTCATCATGGTCCAAGTATCTTGAGGAAAGGTCCATATGTGCATGATGAAACCGAGACAGTTACATGTGTCTTCAACCATCTCCCAGTCCCATCACAGATTAAGGTGTGTTAGCTTAGAGATGGGTAATGCATTTGCAAGACTATCTAAGTGCTTAGGAAACACTGTCATTCAAAATGGAGATATGAGTTGATTGTAGACACCCCTGGACATAGTGCTGGAGAGCAGACACTTGTCAGAGATTCACTGAGTTTTCATCTCAGTTCAAGTGTAACTCATATGATCCGCATCTTACAGCAGAGTTTTAACCTAAAAAATGCATGTATGTCAAATTCCATGAGTTGGAACTGGACCTTTTCCCACAATATGTCTGCCATATTCAACCACAAATTGCTTTTCTTACCTTATGTAAACATCAAAACTCTCTTTATTCTGACCAAAGTCCTCCCTTAAACATATGTAGTTGAGACCCTTCTGAGTCATCTTTTTTTCACAGGAAAATAAGCCAGGAAGGATAGCAAATGGAAGAATGTAACAACTTAAATCCAGAACTGGCCTACTGTAAAATGTTTTTGTAAATGCTGGGGATATAGTCCCCTCTGCATGAAAGTAGAATGTCTCATGTGCCTTCAGAGTTGAGCCATGTAGGCTTTTTGGAAACATATCTTCAGTGAGTATCCATGAATGTTCAGTTTATAACATAAAAATTGTTCTGATAGAATTTCCAAAAACCCTAATACATTTGGAACACGGATTTTTAAAAAAGATAAATAAAGCAGTACTTGCTGTTCCTGATTCTCCAGACAGTCTCGTAGAACCAAGGAATTCAAAGGTTACCTTTTCTGCTGGATGCTTCTCTCACTTCTCCTGCTGTGCTGCTGTGCTTTCCACTTTGCACATCTCTGCCTAACTTTTATGAATTTTAGTCCCATTTTCTAGCCCCACTTGATCTACTCCTTCCTCCCTGGAGTCAGCACTTGATTTACTGCTTTTAGCCTGATGTCTTTGTTCTCCTGCAATTTCTTGACTCCCCAAGCTCTGTTCCATTTTAATTACAGGGATGTTCTCTCCTGAAATCTGAAGGTTATGGAGTCCTGTCCTAGCTGACGATTATTTCAAGGTCTACTCAGAAATTAGTGTGGTTTGTTTTTTTTTTAGTAGACCTTACTTTTCCATACTAGATGTCAGTATGTTTTGAATATATTTGATGTAATTCATATAGCTTAAAAATCTAGACATATTGTAAGAAATGTTTTTTATCTAAGAAAATTTTGTATTTTAGCTCTTAATAGGTCTGAATAGTTCTGTAGTTCTTATTAGATGCATCTGATGTAACAAAAATATAAAGAAATGGGGATAATTAACTGTTACCTTTGCATCTTTGTACCCTGTTTTTTTATTTTTCCATCATTAAAAATAATATGTTTCCAAATAATAAAATAATGAATAATAAAATTACAGTGTTTTAAAAATAAAAATAATAAATAAGTTTTTGCAAAAGTAGCAAATCCCTGACTGGTACTAAAAGCAAGCTAAGCATCAAATCTACTCACCTTATAGCTTGTTTAGAAGTCTTGGTATTCCTGTATCTTTCAGTACAGGGTGAGTCTTTTGGGTGTAATAGTATGTACAAAATGCATCAACCTTTTCTTAAAATTTGACTTTTGGAAATAGTTTTACAAAGTGTCAGTATTATGTAAGCAGGTAGCAGGCAAGAGCAGGATTTGGGATTTTTTTTACAGCTTTCACACAGTGCATTTAATCTTCATGTCTGTTAGGATATTTTATATTATGTTGTTTTTGAAGGTTATATGACTTCAGTTGTTGGGCCTCCATTTCACCATTATGTTAACCTAAATCATACTTTGTTGCACATGCATGTTTGGTGAGCGGGCTGTGTGGTCAAAAAGATTTATCTGAGAAAACTTATACAGGAATGTACTTTATTTTGTGAGCATCTTGTGACATGCTGTTAGTGCTATGTAAAGTGCACATATTAGACCTATACCTGAAAGTATAGGTCTGCTGTTTAATGTGAGTACTGCAACTGATGAGATTTCCATAAAACTTCATGCTGCCCATACATGATTGGACTTACGCACCTAAAGAAACAGAATGAATTTAAGCCTGTGGATCTAAATCTGAGATTGTAAATCGCATCTCGTCTGCTGAATGTTGGCTCCCAGACATCTTGGCTTTTTTAGTCAACCAAAATTGTCTCAGGCTTGATCAATCAGAGCAGTTTAGACCATCTAGAAGCAAAAGAGTAGATTTTCTATCTAATTCTGAATCCTTTAAAAATCTGACTCCAGGAAGTGTTTGGAGATGGTAGTGGATTAGTGACTGCTGGGATGGGACTCACCTGGAAATACAGGGACAGCTAATAACTTTTTTGGCAATTTGTCTGGAGAAGTTCAGTGTTAGAAAAGCAGTTTCTGGACATGCTCAAGTCATCAGAAGATCGGATTGAAAGCCCTTCACTGCTAACAGGGCTATCTCCAGAAACAGGCAAAGCAAGGAGTTGTATAGAGCAGCAACATGACTGTAACTGGGTTGGCTGCAGTTGCTGCTGTACAGAAAGGGTAAGCGTGTATGGGGAAGCCTCTGCTTCTGGATGGGATTCATACCCAGTCAGTGCTGCGATGTCTCACATCAGTGCAGACAGGAGAGGATCTGTGAGCTCCTCACTGCTTTATTCAGTCAGGGTGCCACTCCTCCTCCCTGCACTTTCCTTACCCATGGGAAGAATGTCTCACTCTTATGGTAGTGTTCAGAAGGCAAAATTCAATTTTGCTGGCATTACTGAGAAGTCTGAGCCAGCTCCAGCTGCCTGAAAGACTTCAAATCAGTATCTCCTACAATGCTGCCTGCTGAGGGGCTGAGCTGGAATCACTTTTCTCCCTTCCTATTAAAACTGCACTGCTGTGTGTAGAGTAGCTTGAGAGAGAGAAATTTTACAGCCTAGTGGTTACAGTATTCACCTGGGAGGTGAAGATGGGGAATCCATTTGTTGTGTAAAGGTCTGTTTATTAAGTGGCCAAAGGAAACGAAAAAACAAAGAAGGAAAGAGGAGATAAAATGAAAGACATAATAACAAACAGCAAAACAGCTCATAGTGAAAGGAGAATTTGATTCAGCAAGTTCTGTTGAAATGGTTAGTTTTTGATAATTCACTATGAAAAGGTAGCTTTAAAGAGATTTTGACGACTAACACAGTCTCTTCCTGTTTTCCATCATCATCATAAATTTCTTTTAAAGACAACTGGTCTTAAATATGCATTCTTCCTTCTCTAAGCTGTTCCAGATGGGAAATGGCATAGTTTAGAGAGGAGTTGGATCAATAATCTTCCTAAATAGAAGATTACCTAGACCGAGAGCCACATTTTGTTTTTGCAGTCATTGAAGCTGCCCGGTATTAGAACATGGTCTTGGGTTCAGGGTGTTAGCGGGAAGCCCACCTAAAACACTGCTGTGTCTTAGTTATTTTTAACATGGGATAAAAGCATTGTGGCAGCAATGGAAGTGTCTGGTATTAGTGTCTTTGCATTTGAAATGTACCTATCCATATTTAACAAATATCTTGATTATGACATTAATTTCCAGTATGTTGATCTTATTGAAATTATTTTAAACAGCATCCAGGTAAATGCTTAAGAATTTTAAATCAATTGAAACATGTATAAAGTCTATATTAAGATGACTTTGATTTGGTAAGACTAATGCCAGAGTGATCAATAATGGCATGACTAAAGGACATTTATCCTACCGTTCCACATACGGAGAGATCTGTGAACACCACAAAATAAACTGCTTGCCACTTTGTCTGCTGATGCTGTTAAGGGGGACTGAAACCCTGCATGAAACTGGATCTGTCCCTTGGCAGTGATCCCAGTTAAGTAGGCATGTCATTTATCAATGTGCCAATAACATAATTTCTGTGATATTTTTTCGTCCATGAATTTTGCATTGATAAGAGACTTCTTCAGCCAATAATCTTGCTTATTATATCATACAAAGAAACTACTTGTCCTTTATTCTCCTCTTTCTTTGTACAGCTGCAAATACTAGAACAGATCAGTGAAGAATCAACCAAGAATTTTCCTGACCAAGTTTTTTAAAGGATAAACTACTAAATATATAATATCTATGCTGTAAGCAAAATCTAATTTCTGTTTTGCATAGACTGTTTTGTGATGTCTTAGAAGAAGAAAGTCCTCAGCTCTAACTCCTGGTGCACAGCCAGACTCAAACTTCCTTAAAAGCAAATGTGAGATCTTTGTTTCAGCTTTGACCAGCAGATGGGTCTGAGTTTACAAAGTTAATTTAAGTCAGTTTGGATTCCATATTCTTATTTGGTTTCATTACTCTATTGCTAATTATAATCAATTATAAATAGGAGCTTTCTAGGACTTGATTTAGATCTACAGGTTTGGGGTTTTTTTTCCACATTGTTTTTCTTAGTGAAGATGGTAAAAGCATGCTAGTTTTTCTCATTCCACTTCTTCACTGAAGCTTCTTAAGAAAATGAGATACAATAAATCCATTTAGGATTATGTTGAAAAAGCATTTCTGCTTTTAATATTAGCCAGATTTTTACTGCTAAGTTTTGCTGGCAAATCTCTGAAAGTTTCAGCTTGCAACTTATCTGGATCACTTAAATCTACAACACTGGCTTTGCAGACTTGCAAGAACATCTGTTTTGATTTCCAATGCTATCTTTTTTAGTCCTAGAACACTCTTCTTTAGTGTGAGTGAGATTTTTTCAGAATCTTAAAGGGCCTTAAGTTTTAACTCCAAAACATAATGATTATCAGGAGGAAGTATCTCAGTGTAATGTTTCTTGTGCTAGTACTTTCACTGAATATAGTGTGTAAATGGATAAAGAAATAGCTGGATGTTCAAGTCACACTTTTCTATGGCTTTAGTGAAACCTGGCAATACAGTAGCATTATGCACTACATCTCTTATTATGCTCTTATTGAAGCGTAGTTTATGTTTATATATCTTTATATATATATCTTTATATGTTGTAAAGAATTACTTAAACAAGTAGTGGCTATTAATGGGTTTAGTAGCATGCTGCTGCTTTTCTTTGGTGGTAAATGGAAGCACTTGGTGGGGAAGTATTGGTCTGAAACTGAATTTACAAAAATTGTTCAAAATTAAATGCCTGAAAAAAGCCAATGTATTGCAACCAATGACTATCATGTAGAGAAAGGACTAGTTAGATATCTGTTCCTTAAATTGATTCTGCTTTATAAATGCAAGAATTAATAATGGTGTTGTGTACATCTGCAAATGGAAACCAAAACAGGTTATGATTTGATAGCTCTGGTTATCACTAGAACTTGGAACAAGTGCTCCAACTGAAAAAACAGCTCATTAGCTCCTAACTTGTGCTCTCACAAGCTTCATAGCTTAGCAGAAAAAAAATTGATTACCTGGCATTCAAGATCAGTTCCAAATAACTATTCCTTAAATATGCTATTTTATACTTCAAATAATCTGTATACATTAATTTCTTAATTTCTTAATTTCTTAGTCCGTGTATGTACAGATAATGTCACTCTATTGGCTAAAACCTTTATCCTATGATAGATATCTCTTGTATATTAACAAAAATACCATACTATTGTATCAAATTGTTTACCAAAATAAATCTGTCATTTTTTCTATACACACTCCCACCTAAAAAAACAATGGTGTTTTTATTCCATAGTTTATACCAGACTGATATGTAGTGCCCTAAATCTCAAAGGTATTTATGGATAAAAAGCAAGTTAATATATGCATAGTTTTACTCGTACATTTAATAACAAAGCTTCTAATTAAATTCTAATTGAATTTGACTTGTCATACTTACACTGTTAGATACTACGAACATATTATGATTATTCTTTTTAGTGCAACTTATGTAAAATAAGTGCTTTATTTCATTTCTTCTAAATTTCTTTTTCATTTTTTTCTGGGTAGGTTAATTTTTAAACAAAAACACTATTTTGAAAACAAACAGTTGAATCAATTTCCCCCGTCGAAATATAGAAATAAACCATTTTTTGTGGTCACACTAAGAAATGAATATGTTAAAAATGTTGGCATTGAAAAAAATGGCGTTTTAAAAAATCTCCCTTCTTCCTTTTTTTACAGTATTTACCAAATTTTCCTAGAGCTTTTGAAAAGCTTTGTTCCTGAGAAGACTTTTCTATGGAAAAATATATGTTTTAATATTTTCCCAGTTCTAATTCCAAAAGTCCACAGGAAATACAAGTTGTTTTTAGTTAGTATCAGGTTCTACAATGGTATTGGGAGTTGATGATTGTGTAAATTATTATGATAAACTTTAGCCCTTCTTTAATGTAAAACATTCATGTGACAATTTGATAGTTTTCAAATATACTCATAAGGTGTAATTATCTACTGACATATTTGAAAGGGTAGTCATTCTTTGTGACATCATGTGTTTGCTATTTCCTACTCATAGTGGAGATAGGTTTGTAATTTAAGTCACAAGAAATCACTGTCCACTTTCCACCTTCAATCAGGGAAAAAACCTGAACATGTTAATGAAATCCAAATAAGGGAGACTAATTTTTTTTAATTGAATACACAGAATTTTCAGATTGTGCAGGAAAACTTGTTGAATTCATGAACATTTGAAAAAAACCCCCACCCCAATCCTTCTATGAATTGCATGAATTTTACATTTTAATTTTCCCACTATTTCCTAAACAGTCCCTGTGCTGGTTTATCAGCTTCTGATAACTGTGTGAATTTTGTAATGCACCTTATGAATCTTTGTTATTATGAGGTGGAAAAAAATTTGTTAAAAATTATTTATGCAGATCATTGACCACTCCATAATTCTATCCAATTCCATGAGCTTTTAAATGTGCTCTGCTGCTCATGTATTTAAATCTTTCACACTATGTCTCTTTTATTTTGGATAATGTTTATTTATTTGACTAACTGCAAAGTTAGGTGGGTAAAATGAAAAAGAAAGGTGGGATCGTGTTTTCCTCTTCTGTCTCTCTTTCTCTTTCTCTCTCTCACTCTCCCCCTCTCTTTTCTAAACAAGCTAAGAGTTTTTATAATTCATCACCTGGCTGACAGATGAGTTCTGCTGGAGAATATTAGAAAATGTCTCAAATCTCATATATATGCTAATGGTATGCTGAGACTGGTTGGTGGTATGCCGGAGTTTTTAATCTGTCTCGACCAGTGTGGAAAGTGGAGGAGACAAGTCATTGCACTCGACAATTTATGATCAAACAACTGAATTGTAAAGGAAGAAGGACATGCAGAAAAGGAGAGTAATTTTCTGATTTAACAGCGTTGTTACTACAAATAAAGAAATCTTGATTTTGACTGCACTCGACATTAAATGAGTTTCCTGTGCCCTGCTCTGAATTTTTCATTTTCAGATTTGTATAAAGCACCCTGCTTAGATACAAGTGACAGATAAGGAGACGATTGCATATGGAAATCAAATGTGTATAATAAAGCCATCTTCTGTTTATTAAATAAACACATGTAGATGACTTCCGTGGAGAATGCACTGATAATTCTTCATTGTGTTCTAGTTTTTTTCCAAGTCACAAAGAATCTTATTTAACAACCACGAGTGACTAGATGCAAGCTTTTCTGTTTATTACCTTGTAACAAACCAGGCAGTCTAATATATGGTGTTTATAAACATATTATTTTGATTCTTTAGTCCAAGTTTTAGCTGTATCAGTACAATATATTAGTTTTCATACCATTAGAGTTCTGGAAGCTGAATTGATGCATTAGTATTTTCTGAATATTATATTTTCATGATAGAAATTGTAAAGATTATCAAGAAAATATGTACATTATTGTTAACTGAAATTCTGGGAGAAGGGAAGTATAGCATACAGCACTTCGGTCTCCATATTAAAAAAAGACTAAAGAACTAAGAACTAAGACTATAGAGCCTGCAGTCAGCTTGACAAATATTTCTGATCCAGTGATTTAAGAGTCTAAGTTTCACATATAAAAAACACTTGAAGTTCATCAAGGAATGTCTTTCCAGTTCTATTTCTCACTCTTGGGGTTTTTTTTGAGATATAACCTTCCTATAAATTATTATAATGTATTGCAGTGTTGGGTACCATCATGATACCGGTTGTTTTTTTCCAGAAAGAGTTTTTATATTGCAACCAAAATGCTTGTAGGCCTTTTTAATAAAGCGAAATACACTATTTTCACCTTCTACCTCTGGAGAATTAAGTTGAAATTTAGATTTTGGTTCACATTTTTATTTTGAGAAGAAGAAGATGTGAAGGGTGAATCAGTGATGTCTAGACACTAATGAACTATATTTAGTGAAAATAATTAGCCGTGTCAGAGGAGATCTACAATTGGTAGTTCACCCTGCCTGGACTGAGAGGTCCATAATATTAAGCCTTTCCCTGTATTTATCATGTATATATCAGCAGTTGCATTATGAAGGTTTTGGACTCTCAGCATTTTTTTCTCAAATTATCATCAGCATCACCCTGTACTTTTGGTTGTGCTTGAACTCTATTTTGGTGTTTTACTTTTGAAAAAGAAGAAAACTCCACCAAATTAACACCCCAAAAGCAAAGCATACTCACCTCCTGACAGGTATTTAGTGCTGCATGAGGGTGGAGTTGTGAAATTCTGGTTCAGGCTTCCTAAGCACCAGGCAGCTTCTCTGCCCAGGGTAACTGTAATGTGAGCTTTGGCATAAGTGCATCAGAAAATTCACATGGATTTCTTACTATGATTGGAAGTGATTGCTGTGCATAGAAGTGCACAACCAGTTCAAACAAGACTAGATAAGCTATGTTGCAAAGCCATATGGCTTAGTTTAAACAGCACAAAGAGGAAGTCTTTGATCATGGCCTTTGATCATAGTTAACCCTAAATGAAGTGGTGGGCTAATGTAGGTAAGAAGGTGTCAGAATCAAAGCAACTAGAGGCTGGTATGAGTCTAGTAAAAGAAGAATTTCGGAGAGGACCCTGGTATGCAGATGGTTTGTTTGATTTTAAACCTAGAGTAAGGGAGAAAAAACCAGCATCTTGGGCACCAGTGGAGAAGACCAAAATATGGCAGAAAGATGAAGATGACTGGATGCAGAAGCTGTAAGGTGTATGTTATCCTTCAGTGAGTTTCTGACAGAATTTACATATGCATGAAGGGTCATCTCATAATGTTCAGGAAAATAAAGAGGTGTGAGAGACATAAATGCTGCTAGAAATGAGGGTAGAATATAGAAATGCATTTGAGTATGACAGATAAGATGAAAGGAAAGAGCATGAACATAACTGTAGTTGCAGATGGGTTGATTGGCAGATCCCCAGATGAAAAGGAGACCTCTAGAAATATATTAAAATGATGACAGGGCAGAGGAAAATACCAGAATGTGAAGTAAATCTGTGGAAGAAGTTTTCTCTGTGGAAGGAGTTTGTTCTGTGGAAGGAGTGATGAGGTGCAACCTGTAGAGACAGAATATTGAGCAGCATGAAAGAAGAGACTGAGTAAATGGTAACAGCAGGGGCTAGTGGCTGAAGAAAAAGAGAAGACAAAGATAAGTGGAAAGCAAAAAGGAAGCAAGAAGGTCAAAGTTTCATAGGAACCTAAGGCTGCTCTGAAAGATCACTTTTTTTCATAAGAAATATTAACAGACTGGCCATCAAAGTGGATGGAAATGGAAAACAGTCTTGTGTGAAGTCTGTCCAAGCATAATGCTGTGAGGGGCTGGCAGAGTGTGAAAGTCATTCTAAATAGGCTGGGGAAGAATCCTTTTGCTGTCATTCTACCATTTGACTGTAAGAATAAGAAACTTGCTTGAGCTGCTCAAAGAGAGTTGTGCTAGATGGGGGAAGATGTTCAAAGATCTTTGCTGGAATTCTTCTATTTCATAGACCTAGAGAGCAAATATTTGGGAAGATAATATCATCAGGACTGGCGAAAGCACCAATCCAGAGTTTGAGATATTTGCCTGGTTAAGTACCTGGAGAAGTAGCCCTCTTGGATTTTTACTAATCTGACTAATAAGAGAATGGACAGTAGAGAGGAAGTAAATGCTTTGAGGATAATAGCGAAGTGGGTAGTTAAAAATAGGAATGCTTAATTTGGATAGTGAGATTTAACTGGAAACTGCCTCAATAATTCATAGGAACTGCACAACAAAGTGGAGGAAGTCAAACGAAGAGTCAGATGTGAAACAACATTATAAGAAAAGCAAAATGGAAAAGCTGTTATCATTAGAAAAGAGATATGGAAGGAGCTTAACTATTCAGGAATTGGTCTGGTACACTTTGTCATGTAATGACCTCAAAAAAAGTAAGAGGAGGGAGTGTGAGTTAGTCATAATCTGAATGATAATTTTTTAGGGAAGACTATAAAGTATCTTTTGTTGTGAACCTGCTGGAAATCAGAAATTGAACTCCAGTGTTTCAGAACAATAAAAATCTTATTATCCTTGCAGTGAATGTGGACTTTCTAAGATTTTTTTTTTTTTTTACTTCACCAATACAACATGAAGTGCAAATGTTGCTAATAATGGTAACACCCAAATGCAAAGTAGACTTCTTCAGTAAGTAGTCATTGAGCTAGCAAAGGGCAATGTTACTTTAACTTCGGTTTTAGACAAATGAGTTTTTTGTAAGGTAGCACACTGTCTCCCTCTTTCCTCCGTCCTCATCCCCTCTACTTGTCCTCACTGTTCAGCTTGTTGTTGGCACAGGCCAGGACCTGGGACAACTGCAAGCAACATACTTTTTATCCTGGTTATGGAGGAGGCAGTACTTTTAAAGGGTATTTAAGTAACATTTTATGAGTCAGGAAGGCTTGATCCACACGCCTTTGTAGAAGATTCACATG